TTGCTGAGATATTTTCATTAAAGGGTCGAAAAAAGTATATAATATTATTACCAGGGATTTTTAATTTCATTGGCTTGTGATGTCAACAAATATGTACCAATCAGATCTCTTCGATGAATCAACCTAATTTCAATACGTGTAATATTTTAAAGTAAAAAATATACGTTAAAGTTAGATTAAAAATTTGAATTTTTTTATATTAGAGCGCAGAACGTTTATTTGGCCACCCTCTAATACAAATATACATATTTTCATCACCTCTATAAGAGGTGATGAAAATTCGTGTATTTATATTAGAGGGTGACCAAATAACTTACACAAGTGGTTTCATAGTCGAAATTTCAAGTTATGCATCGGCAGTTTTTTAAAAATTGTGATTTTACGTTGTACTCACAGCATATTCTCGATTTTGATTGGCTAAGAGCGATGAACAAAAAATTTGGACGGAATTACTCAGAATTCTACTAATGTAACCACAGATCCTATTAAGTGAAAATTGTTCATGGTCAATTTTACCATAATGTTGCCAGGAATTTCTATTTTTGTAATGAAAAAATCAAAATTAATTACGGCCAGAAATTAGTAAACAATTATGTAATGTTGGCCAAAATTTGCAGATCTGCGGTCGTTAATCAATCAAAAATCAAGTGACAATTTTGTGTCGATCGTTTGAAGAAATTTGATTGGTACATACTTGACTGTTTTATTTAAAACATTATTTAAAAATACATATGCACTTGGCTATTAGAACCAAAAATAACATAAAATACTAATTTCGCGCATCTATAAATTGGATAATTTTCGGGTCGGGTTGACGTTCAACCCGAACCCGACCCGAAATTTTCGGGTCAGACATTTCTAACCCGACCCACTATTCGCAATAGTTCGAACTTTAATTTCAATCTCTTTCTTTAAATTTTCTTCCATTATTATATTATAAGTAATTAGCCAAACTTATTCGTTGTAATAAATCTATTTCAGAATTAAAGCAATTAGAATTTGGATCCCCAACAACCATCATTGATTCTTATTTCTGCGGATAACATAGATACATTTTTGTAAGTATCGGTACAACTTACATTAAGTGAAATATCTACTCCAAGATTATTATTTAAAAGCGTTTGTGAATGTAATTCTTGTGAATGCAAATTAACAAATGCTTCATCTTCTTGGAATGATTCTATTGGTGTTTTACTTTCTGAATTCTCATAAGAAGCAACCAAAGTACGACTTGAAGTAGTTTGTTCATATGAAAAAATAAATATTCTATCACATGGTAATACACTATGAATTTCTTTTATAACGTTTGAAAGCGCTTCCTTCAGACCAAGACTAGAATAAATCATTTCTGAGATTGAAAGCAGAAGTTGCTTTATCTGTTGTTGGAATAGTATTTTACGACGAAGATTTGAGAGTTCAATATTATCACGAATACGTGATATTAGTTCTTGAGCAGAAAATGTTTTTTTTTAAAGTTATCATTTGCTCCTTTATCAAGTCCTAATAAATAAATAAATAATTAAATATTATTATTATGTATTTTAAAAAATAAATTTAATAATCACAAAAACGAAACGGATTACCTTTGGTACTGGATTTTTCACAGATTTTTGCAGTTAGTAAGATTATAGGAATTAATTGAGTTTTTATATTAAACCTTATCTTATCCAAGAACTCATATCCATTCATATTTGGCATCATAACATCTGTTAAATTTATTGGCGTAAATTAATGATTTATGTATAACATGATAAATAAAATATAATAAAAATGATTTGATTATGTATTCATTTACCACTAAGAATTAGATCTGGAGGTTTGTCATGCTCGTTTAAAATTTGAAATGCATTTCTGGCCTTTACTAGCACAAAGTACGTTGAATTCTCTTAATAAATCTGATAGATAATTTCTATTCAAATAATAGAGTCAAAACCAATAAACTTATAAAATTCTTTTAATGTTAAAAAATTGCTAATTTAAAAGAAATATTATTACCGCATATCAGTATTAGGCCATACAAATAAAATTATTCGTTTCTCATCCCTGGCCGGGTTACATAAATATTATGAAAGAGAAAAAATTTTTATTTTTTTTACAGCTATTATCATAATTCCTGGGACACCTGTGAAAATTTGCCGAATGATTTTCCGCCGATCCGGTTAAGTTATTGATCCGTATAATAAAATAATTACTGATCATTTTATGATTGTCACTAGTTCGACGGGTGGCGCTTTGCGCCGCCCATCTTTTTGGATTTTTGGGATTTTGTTTATGTGACTTTGTAGTAGTTTGTTTTCGGGTGATTTTCGATGGATCGAGGATTTCTCTGGTTTTTAACTTTTTCAACGTATTGTATATAGTTGTGGTTATACTTTTAATGTACTGAGAATTGTTATCGTTGTTTTATTTTGGTTTGAGTTCAATAGGAAGGATAAAGTGTGGTTTTTGTTTGAAAGTAGTGTAGAATTTATTTGATAAATGTTAGTGTATTTGTGGTTTTGATTTGAGGGTTAAAAAATTTTGACCTATGAATTAAATTAGTTGGGTTAAAACTAAATATCTCTTCGACTAAGTTGATTGTGGGTTATACAAAGTTTTATGCGTCTAGTGAGTCGTTTGGTGATTTTGGGTTAGTAACATTTATTTTGTTTTTACTCGAGTTTCGAGTTATTGACGTGATTGTTGCATATAAGGTTTGGTATTAATAGATATGTATTATAATAGTGACTTTTGATATATTTTATTTTTTTTTTTTAATATGTGATATACAATGGTTACAGTATTGTTGATCTTAGGATTATGTCATATTATATTATGGTATGTTTACGTTATTCTTACTATATTGCGTGAAATAAGTGTAATTGTGGTGTGGTTTGTTTTTCTGTGGATTTTTTTTTTTAGTGTGTTTGCGTGTAAATGAAGTTTATTTATTATACATAATGTTTATGTTTTTTACGTTTCAATTTAATCATTTTTGCCTTTTTTTTTGTTAATATTGTATTATTTATTTGTTTATTTGTTTATTAGGGATGGTTTTATTGATTTTTTTTTGATTTTCTGAATAATTCCGATAGTTTCGGGTTGATTTTTTTTTCCAAGCGAGATACTTTTAATAATTTGTTGTTTTTTCTAACATTGTGTTTATTATGCCGTGCTACACTGATATGATCGTGAGAGTTAAGTTTGTTCGTCAAGGGGAAAAGAGCACGTGGGCTATTGGTGCTTATCCGGTTGGGCGTGAAGATAGTGAAATTGAATTGGTTTTATTTGTCCCATCGAATTCTGATGGCTATAACTTGGAGACTTACGCTGTGCTCAAGAAAGATGGTATCTATTCTGTCAGAGGTAAAATTATTCCCGGGGTTTATAGTGGGAAGAAGAGACCTAAGGTATTAGTTTGGGTTATCTGATATTTATTTATCTTGTTATAATATTAATTAATGTTGTTTTTTTAGATGACTGTTTCAGTTTCAACGTGTATGGGTATTCCTAATAAGGGGGATAAATTTAACAAATGCCCATTGAAAGTTACTTTGGTGGGCATTCCCCAAGAGTTACCTCGTATAGTGGGAAATGACGGGAATGCTATTTTTAAGGTTATGATAAGCGATTATGCCGGGCAAGAGTATAATTTTACTATTATAGCTGTTTTTCCTTATAATAATCTGAGATTTATTAATTTGAGAAATTCAATTCGTCCACTGAATTCTCTTGTTTTTTTATCGGGCAAATAGAAGTTTTTGATAATGATTTTTATGTATATGTAAAAGATATCAACTATGTTAACACTCATTTTTCTTCTAAGCTTGGTGCCTTTGATAGTAGTGATTTGAATAATTCTTCTGATACTGTCAATTTGACATTGGGCACAACTCTTGTCTGTTCATCGTAATATTATTGATGATTCAGGGGATACTTCAAATATCAAATTATTTTCTTTAGGGGTATCAAATGATGCAGGTAGTAAGTCTAAGCATGGATCTTTGGTACTGGATAATAATTCTTCTTCTAAGAAAACAAAAGTGGAATGTTCTGAAGATTTTACTTCTGATATCGATAATGTTGATAACTATGCTTCTAAGCTTGACGAAGTCATAGATGTGGATGAAGTTTTTCAGAGTAATGAGACTCAAAGTGGTGTTAAAAAGAGAGAGGTAAAAGAAATTCTCATGGTAATAAGAGAGAAGGTGGTTGTACTAGTAGGTCTTCTTGTAGTAATTTGAGGTCTCATAGTTCCGATGTTGATGTTGAAAGAGAATAGTTATCATATTTTGGTAGTTCGTGTTGTTGTTTAGTTTAGTTGTATTTCGAAAATTGCTGTGTCATATTTGTTTTATTTTATTTTTTTGTTATTATATGTTATCGTTGAGAACAATAAGTATATTAAATATTAAGTGTCTTTTATTAGCTTTTACTATTTAAATATTTTATTTTTAAGGGTTTGATTAAGTGCTTTTGGTAATAAATTTTAGTTGAATTTAGCATTGATTTAATTTATATTTCATATAGCATATATGTAAATGTTTAAGGTTTAATATGTGTGATTTTATATAATTTTTTTTTATTTTAGTTGGTATTATTAATTTGATTTTTTTTTTTAGTATATTTATTGGGTATAGTTTTTTTATGAGTATTTATTTTATATGAAATATAGTTTAAATAATATGATGATAATAGTGGTTTTTATTTTTATTTTTTGTAGCAAGTTAGATTTTGTTTTTGTGCCATTTGTTTTTATTTAGTTTTGGTTTGTATAAATAATCATTTGTCATGGTAATTATTTGAGAAGTTCTGAGTATACTATATTTTTTACAAATGTATTAGGCGAGTGATTTTGTTCTATAAGTAAGAGAATATAGTTTCGTTGACGGACCTTTGTGAGTGCTGTGTAAAGTTGGCCATGGCAAAATACAGGAGACTATAGGTCAAGAATGACTTTATCCAGCATTAGTCCTTGCGAAGAGTTGAATGTTGAAGAATAGGCAAGACGTAAAGGAAATTGGCGGTGACTAATTTTGAAGAGGAATCGAGAAATTCTAAATAAAAAGATTATATGCGGTAGGTATTTATAGTATTCATAATAGGGTTTTGTACAGTAATCAATTGGTGTCCTATGTTTGTTATAATGACTCTTGTATTTTTATATAAGCCATCTTGTAGTGAGAGGTTTCTCATAATTGTTGCAATGCAGCTACGTTTCAGTGTAAAACAATGCATGAGTGTTCTGGGTGGTATGAATAAGTTCAATAATTTGGATGTTACTATATTTCTTTGGGCACGATAATTTTTGTTTGCATCATAGTTTGTTTCATTATCTGCCAAACTATCTGTGCTGTATAAATTGACTGTGTCGTTATTTAAATATTGTAATACAGTATTGTTAATATAATTTACTTTTATATTTAATGGAAAAAGAATTGCCCATTTTAAACATGCTCTTGAATCATTTAATACATTTGTTGGAAAAATAAAGTTAATAGCATCTTCTAATTTCTGTAGTTTATTTAGTAATGTTAATGGTATGTTTTCTTTGTTTATACTATCACGAATGTCATCCATTAATTAAGAATACTCAGGATCAAGAGCATCTCATATCGGTTGTTAAAGATTATAAATATCGAATGTATTCCAAAGCAAAGATGATTTAATTGATTCTAATATTATCGCTGCTTTTCCAGCATTTGGGATTACAGGTGCTACCTGATGGAAGTCACCTATTCCAACAAAGATCTTTCCCTTGAATGGTAAGTCACAATTACAAAGCTTTAGGAAAAGTATATCTACTGTCTTAATATTTTCTTTCTGCACCATGAGATTTCATCCCACGTTATAGCTGTTGTTTCTCTGATTAGTTCTGCACATTCGCTATTTGCATTTATTTGACATTTACATTCTTCATCATCATTTTCTACTGGGATATGAAATAATGAATATGCTATACATCCCCTTCATAGTTTAGTGCGGCTAAACCCGTCATCACGCAAGGAAATATTACTTTTTTAAACTTCGTATTGTTATGCAGATTAGTTTACTAAAAATGGTTTGCCATGTCTGACTCAACCATTTATAAAAATTGTTAAAGATAAATTTTTGTATATGTGATCCATAATTTTTTGGTATATGGTTTTTTGTTCATAATTTAAGTGTTTAATCATTTCTTTCTATTGTGTAATTAATTTATTATGGTTATTATATTGAGCTTTAACACACATTATTTCCGAAGAATAACCAAGTGGTCAAGGTAGGCCAATCTGCAATATTCTAATATTATTTTCTTCTAAAAATGTTGTAATCCATTTTAAAGTTTTATTTATTCCTTGTTGTATATCATTTTCTTTAATTATATAATCAGCTGATAACTGTTCATGATAATTTTGCCAGATTTTTTTTGCCAGAATGCCTTCTATAATTAGACAGCAAAAAAGTAATCTAAGTTGTGCAGGTGTGTAATTATACGAATGGCTTCATTGAAACATTGTTCATTTTCCATTACATCTTCTAATAAGCGTAGTGCACGTGCCGCTTCTTGAAAAGTGGAATATAGTATATTATTACTATTCGCAATTTCTCAAAAGTCTGTGTAGCTCGGTGGCTTAAAAGAATACAAAGATAATATTTTTCACCTACACATGGATGTATTATATTCATTCGGGTTATATGCATATGATTTTGTCTATATGGTTTAATGATACGTTGGCGATATTTTGCTAATCTTTTTTCTAAATAAGTATTTAGTGGTAATAAATATTGGTTATTTAGATTTTTTATGTAATCAAAACTATATAATCCATTATATCTGCAATATGTAAGTTCGTTGAATTTATGATCTGGTGAATAAAGAAAGTATCTTTGTAATAATAAAAGACTGTTATTACTATTTCCACGCATAATTATTTGTTCTTCGGATAAATAGATTGGTAGACATGTTACTGATGGTGATTTCAGGGTAATTTTGTGCTTAAATATGCACCAAACCGATTCTATTGCATGCAGAGAGATAACATGCACGAAGATAATCCTTAATTTCATCGATTACTTCAGGTTCATCATCATCATCTATATTTATTTGTATTGCAGCATGGTCTGGCCCTTTATAAATATACTTGTATAAATATGAAATTACATGCAAAGCAGATACTACTTCAACATTAATATGAGAATTTAATTTAAAAGTAAAAAAGCATTGTAAGGTACAATGTTAATGTCTTGTTCGGTTCGACGCCTATAGTAAACTTGGCCTAGGTTATTAATTACTGTACTTTCTTGTATGTTCTGCAAATAATTCCATTTACATTTTTTATTCTGATGCACACATTTCTGAGTGCACTGATGAATTATAAATTGTTCTACTAATTTACGAAGTTGAGTTTGTTGGTAATTATTTCCTCTAGGTAATTCAGCATTTACTACTTTATCGATATCTTCTGTCCGAATTAAGTTCGGTAATACTTTAATTACTATGTGCACATGCGGTAAACCACGCTTTTGAAATTCGATTGCGTGCATATAATATATTATCTTGCCAAAATATAATTTTAGCAGTTTTTGTAAGTAGGTTAAACTTTGTTTAAATACTCGAACTACAATATCAAGTCAGTTAGCATAGTTCTGGCCATCTTGTAACTGTTGTTGAATTTCTTGCCAATTTGGATTTGTTGTAAAGGTAATAAATAATGTTGGTTTTTCTAATTTATTTACGATCACAAGAGCATTCATTGTTTTTTTATACGACTATCTAAATGAAAGTGTGTGTAATGCTAGTAAATAAGTACCTTCTGGGTGCAGTTCTGCTTCATCACTGAGTGATTCATCTTCATCTTGATCTCCTTTTCTGAATCTATTCTGTTCTCTACATATGAATTGTAATCGTTCATCCTTAGCTTGACTAAACATATCTACTAGATATTTATTGAATAATCATTCAAGTAAGTGGAATTGTGGTTCTGTCATAATTCAATAATAATAATAATCAACTTGAAAGATTTTTTGCATAAGCGAATTTGAATTATTCATCCAGTATACATGCCAACCAACTTCGCTCTAGGGAAAGAAAAGTGGGTATTGTAAAGCTTTATAGTGTTCATTAAGAAAATTTATGTAATCAGGTTTTTCTTCACCAACACGCCATATTTGTATACATCTTTCTTGTACTATGGCTGTTGAATGTATAATAACGCAAGCTGCAATTTCAATATTAGCTACTGGTTGTTGAATTACTAATCGAGCCTGTGGATAATTTGTATTATATAGTTGATATAGACCTTGAACAAATGGGTTAACTTCTGCTAATTCTTGTTTGATTAAGTCTACTACATCTTGGTTAAGTCTTCGTTAGTTCGCGACGTGATTTCATGCATTAGCATTATATACAAACCAATTTACTGGATAACCTTCTGTATTAGCAGAGTGAATCTGATGATATGCGTGACTATTGATAACGAAGGCATTAGGTTGTGGCAAATGAATTACACCACCTGTATAACCGATTGCCATGAATGAAAATAGAGAATTATATTGACAACTAAAATGACTAAAATTTCTATCATTCATGTAAAGATCTTGTAAGGCAGATGGTAACTCAGGTAAGGGTGATATTAAATTTCTTATTCTAGAGTTACAACAAAATTCCTGTCTTTCTGACAGAAGTAATTGTATACCACATATTAAACATGGTTGTCTCCACTTAGGAGTATATGCCCTTATTATATAGGGGGTGTCAGTAGAAACCAGGCAAATTGTTTCTAAGTAAATTTTTTTTAGACTTTAAGTTAAAATATCTCAACAACTATTAAACCTAACTTGATAAAAAAATTTTTATTTTAATGCTATTTAGTTATAGAATTAAAATAAAAAAAAATTATTAAGTTTGGTTTAATAGTTGTTGAGATATTTTAATTTAAAGTTTTAAAAAAACTTACTAAAAACAATTTGCCTGGTTTCTACTGACACCCCCATATTTTCATTACTTATGCTCGATAATGTTTCCACCATAATTGATCATCATTATTTTGATTATTGTTTAAGTTGTTCGTAGTTGGTTCGTCACAATTAGTTGTATTGTTTGAGTTGTTCACCGGTTTTCTTTGTAGTGGTGTTACGTTACATATTGGTATGCGATTTGAAGGTTTTTGGTACTGCTTAGATCTACCCATAATCTCAAAAAATTTATGTAAATATTTTTTCTTTTCTTTTTTTTTTTTTTTTTGTTGAGAAATAAGAAAATGTTTTATCAATAATCAATAATTAATAATAATTATAAATTTGTTATTATTTATAATTATGACAAATGATAAATGACAAATATGATGCAGTATTCTCATTATAATTGAAAGTTTCGTGAGATACTTTTAGTGTGTCATTCGTTGTGTGTGTATTTAGTTGTTTATCACGTTTTTTTGTTAAAGTGTGAGACTTTGCTTATTTTTTACTTTTATGACAGTAAAGTAACTAACATTGTACTTTCAGTATATTAGGATACTTTGTAAATACTTTTTCCAATTTGTTTAGTATATATCCATTTAATTTATTATTATTCTTTTAATTGAATATAAATTCAATTTTATTATTTACTTTTTTAATTTTATATTGCCAAATAATTTCGTTATTAGACATCTATATTGTTGTGTTCTATAATATTTGCCTGTGTCACGTGCTTTACGCTTTATCAATCTGATTTTATTTAATTACGTCTCGATGATTATATATTGCAGCATTATCGATGATCTCATTGATTATTAGTAATTCTTTTATTAATATATGTTTATTTTTTTTTTCTCATTAATATTAACGTTATTATTAACGTTAGTTATTATTATTAAAATAATTAACGTGATTACGCTATCAACGGTTAAACAAAATTATTTCATTCACAATGTTAATTAACTTGCAATGGGAGTTATTCTATCAACCCTAATTTCCCATTTTAGTTTCTTATGTAATGGTGATCATAATATTACTTCATTTCTCCTTTATATAATGTAATAATTTCTTACTTAAGTTTATACGTAATGGCGATTTCACTATTATTTCATTTTTATTTTTTATTCTTCTTTTAAGTTTTCTACACAACAGCGATTTCAATATTACTTTATTTTTCTCTTATTTTTGTGTAATATTTTCCGATCTAAGTTTCATACGTAACGGTGATTTCACTATTATTTCATTTTTTCTTCTTACATTATGTAGTGTAACCCAGAAAACTCAGACCTTCGGAAATTTTAATTTTAGGCCGGTTAATTACGTATGTGCCGCAGAAGCCTATTTTTGGTTAGCAACGATCTTCGATTTATTTGGGTTAAAGACTTTTAGGAGCGATTTGTCTTAAAAGTCTTAAAGGTCTTAAAGGCGGGGGTATAATACTTTTAAGACTTAAAAGTCTTTTCTTTATTTTATGTATTTTAATAGTTTATATTATTATAAGACCTAAAAGTCTTAAACGAAACATAGTATAAAAGAAAGTATATAAGCAGTACATTTCTGCTGTTTAATAAAGACATCGTTTTCATACGATAAAACAAGCGTCCTTTAGCTTGTCTTTGGCCCATTTAAATATATATTTTGCAAACACTACCTTCACCTCGATCCTTGCCAAAATAAATTCTTGTCTAATTGTTAAATTTTGAATAAACTATAACCGCTACGTTTACCCTTCTGAATTAGTCCAAATTTAGGTTAGATCACTCCAATTGTCTGCCCAATACAGACAACCCTATTGTTATCTGAGTTTAGCACCATTTCCAACCTTAGTTTAGGTTGATTGTACCAAGTATTATAACCTGAAAAGTATTATCAATGCCTGATTTCCTTGCGAGTTGGTTTCTGTGGTTTGAGTATTGATAAACCGGAGTTTGTCATGTTTTTGTTGTCTAAGGATTGCCAAAAGCCTTAGAACCAGTCCACTTCGCCAATCTAAACATCTCTTTCGATAAGGTGGTCCAGTGCCTTGTTAGATTAATTTTGCTGGTTGATTTAACTCCTGGCAAATTGATATTTTCTATGTAACAATTGGTGGTGATTGTGAGATACGGCACCCCATAGCTTTTAGAGTTACCTTTTGTTTTAGTAGTAGTTTTAGTCTTAGTGTTAGTTATAGCATTACCCAAATTACCCGTATTTTTAGAAAAATATCGTTTAGTTTAGGATGGAAGACCTTTTAATTCAAAATAAAGATTTTCAGGTTGAGGAAAACGAAGTTAATGGAGAAATTCAGAATGATCCGTTCAAGAAAACCAAGTACTAGCTGATGGTGGAAACCAGCCAGAGGACGTTAAAGAAATCCTGAAACAGATTGCTAGTGCATTTAAAGATGTAACCAAGGGATCTTCATGTAGAGAAACCAATTGGGTCCAGGTCAAACCCTTCAAAGGTGAAGAGGATGAAGACCCAATCGAGTAGATTGAGGTCTTTGAGCAAGCTCCCGATGCAAATAATTGGGGAGAAGAGCATAAAGTTAAGATTGCCTCGGGTTATCTGTCCAAAATAGCGGCCAATTGGTATAAGGAGAAGAAAAATGATTTACAGTATTTTATAACACTGAAAACCTAGATGCCAGTTTTAAGAAACAATTTGTGGACTACTTCGCCACACCAGAACGATGCCATAAGTGGCAGGTGGACCTAGATAACCTGGAGCAAGGAGATAATGAGCGTGTAGACTCCTACGCTTATAAGTTCAAGCGTTTGTTGTCTAAAGTTGATGCTGATAAAGGCATTCCAGCTCCTTACATCATGAGGATGTTCCTAAAAGGGCTCAAAGGAAATATTGTGGCTTTGTTGTCTTTAGCAGAACCAGATAGCCTTGATAATGCTATTGTAATAGCCTAAAGAATTGAAGCAGGTAGCCATTATGAGGATAAGAAGGGAGCTAAGTCAGTCTTAAGGATGGAAAAAGAATTGAAAGATCTGACTCATAAACTGAAGCAAATGGCAGCTAGTTATGAAAAACTTACTACCACTCTAGCTGCCACGATGGATGCCTGTCCCATCCGGGATAGACTACCTCAGCCACCAAATTCAAAAATTATTTGCATTAACTGTGGTGAGCCGGGCCATATATCTAGAAACTGCCAGTCTGAGAGAAAAATAAATAAACAAAGGAACTCCACCCAGCTCACTCAAATTCTTTCTCGACCCGGTAATATTAACTATTGCAGGATAGAGAATAAAAACTATGTAGAAAGCAAGGTATTGGCTAACAACCAAGCCCGGTATCAACCTTATGCCACTCAGAAAGGGCTAAGGCCAGTAAAAAAGTCTGAATCAAAGTGGGAAGACAGGCTGTGGAGACGTGAACTAGAAGAACAGCCCTAGGAACTGCTACCGATGAATGAAGAGCCATATATCTCAGAGAAGCCAACTGTGACTCGCTCTAAGTATAGAAGGGAACTATCTAGAGTAGATAACCTTGAACTATATAATGTTGTTTATAACTTGTTAAATACTAAGTCTAGTGTCACTATAGGGCAAATGTTAAAATACCCTAACCAATGCTGTAATCTTGCCCAAGCCCTTCGTCGTTCTAGGTTACCTGTGGAGACTAATTATGCCCAACCCAAAGAAAATTTGAGGACCACAGCCGCCCAGTGTTATGTAAAAATTAGATGAAATCCAGTAGTAGCAATCCTGGACACCGGTGCAGCTGTTAGTTTGGTTACCAAACCTTTGGCAGATAAATTAGGACTTAAAATTAGAGTACCTTCTAATACTGTAGTAATCACAGCCACAGGGGCCAGTGAACAAACTTTGGGAAAGATTGAAAACTTAAAAATGGTTGTAGGTGGCCTTTTGGTCCCAATAACCCTCCAAGTAATTGACTCCCGGGATGAAATATTGTTGCTAGATACCGATTAGTTCCAGAAATCAAAGGCACACATGCACTTTGATGAAGAAAAGTTATACCTGACATATCAGGGCCAAACAACCCACTTGGCTATATCCCATATTGAGGAATATCAGCTTTCGAAGCCTGATAATAAATTAGAATTTGAGAATGAAATGCTAGAAGAAGCCAAGGGCTATTATACTAGTGAGGCCTTGTTGGAAGAAGAGTTACATATAAACCCTTGGGATGGGGTACAGAGTTGTGTGGCTATAGAAGAAGTGCCGGTAGGGCATTATAACTAAGATAATGAAGAGAAAAAGGAATTGAGTAAAATATGGAAAAAGGTATTGGATGAATTAGTAGCCCAGGAAGAAATCGGTAACAAGGGCCAGAAACAAGCTGAATAGTTATTTGTTAAGTACGAAGATATGTTTGCTAGAGGATTAGAAGATTTAGGGCAGACTAATATTGTTTAACATCATATCGACACGGGTTTAGCATCTCCCATTAAGCAGGAAGCTTATCGACTAGCTTCTAGTGAGCAGGAGTTTTTGCAAAAAGAGGTACGGAAAATGTTGAATACTGGACTAATAAGGGAGTTCTATAGCCCGTGGTCGTCTTCAGTGGTGTTAGTCCCCAAGAAGAATGGAAAATTACGGGTCTGTATTGATTACAGAAAAATCAATACGGTAACTAAAAAAGACGCCTATCCTATTCCAAGAATAGATGACATGTTGGAGATATTCAGAAATGCCTCTTGGTTTTTTAGTTTGGACTTGGCCAGTGGGTACTGGCAGGTCTCAGTAGCCGAACAAGATAAGGAGAGAACAGCCTTCATTACCAAATTCGGGGTATATGAGTTCAATGTGATGCCCTTCGGTTTCTGTAACGCTCCGGCTATGTTTCAAAGACTGATGAACCATATACTAAAAGAATATATTGGGCAATTCGTTGCCGTCTACCTAGACGACATTACTGTTTATTCTAGGACTTTTTGGAAACACTTGGAGCATTTGGAAAGGGTTTTTATTAAGCTCCAAGAGGCCCAGTTAAAATTAAACAGTGACAAATATCACCTCCTTGCAAGGTCTTTAAAGTTTTTGGGTCAAGAAATTACTAGAAATAGAATTAGGCCGGATAATGAAAAGATTATCAAGTTTCAGGAATACCCGGCTCCAAAGACTCTGCGCCAATTGAGAGGATTTTTGGGTTTATCATCCTACTATAGGCAGTTTATTAAAGGTTTTGTCTCTCTTGCTCAACCCTTGCATTACCTACTTCGAAAAGACGTACCATATTATTAGGTGAACCTTAACATAAGGCATTTGAAACATTAAAGCACCATTTGACTACTGCCCCTATTTTACAGTATCTAAATTTTGAGAAAACATTTTACTTACACACGGATGCTTCGGGGACAGGTTTTGGGGCCGTGTTATCTCAGAAAGATGAAAAAAACAGAGAACACGTGATTGCATACGCCAGCTGAAGTTTAAGTCACGTTGAGAAAAACTATTCTACTACTGAGTTGGAGTATCTAGTGGTAATTTGGGGAATTAAGTACTTCCACCATTATAAAGGCATCATGCTTTTTGTAGTAATCACGGACTATGCAGCTCTGAAATGGTTGGAAACATCAAAATTAAAAGGGAAAAAAGCAAGGTGAATCCTCTGGCTCCAATCTTACATTTTTAAAATCGTACATAGGAGTGGTTGGGTGTATTCTAATGTAGATGCACTATCCTGTCTCCCCGAAATAAATGATAATGAGAAAGAAAACCGGCAAGAAGAAGCTAGAGAGGTTTTTTAAAGTTGATGTTATATATATTAAAGATAGTGAAGATAAATGGTACTCTGAAAATAAAGATTATGAAGAGAACTATGAGAATGAAGAGGATTATGAATCTGAGGTAGAAGAGAAAGATTATGAAAGGACTGATAGTGTAGAGGAACAATGGAATACGTGGGAGGTGGATGAGAGTGAAGTAGTAGACATGAATCGGCGAGAACAAGGGTATGAACAATTATTACATGATTTTGAAGTAAAATCAGACTGTAGGTTGTTATGGGAAGGCTATAGAATATTGCCCAATAGTGGTGGGAATATGAAAATGGAAGAGGAGCTGAAATGTCACTTTCCCAGGACGAGGTATACTTAGTAGACGATTTAAGGACCATCCAAGGTGAAAAAAGCTTTTCTGAGATAACCTGGATAGAATAAGAGCCAAAAAAAAGTGTCCTTTGGCCTCTTACACCTGAGGAAGTTATAGAAACCTTGGAAGAAGAAAATGGCCTCAAGAATGAGGATGATGAAGAATCATCTGATAGTAATTGTCTGTCTTCACAATGGGAAATGTCAGATGATGATGATGAGTCCCAAGTAGAAGTTGTGATTGACAGTGGATCAACAAGTCTAACTACCCCGGAGGAAGAAACCTCGACCGAAGAATGAAAAGTTAATAAAAGCCTTGCTGACCAAGTAAAACAAGAGGATGCAATGATGGATGAATTTATCAAATGGCCAGAAAATGAACAGGAAGAAACCTCTGAGCCACAAGCTATTGATATCGGCGCAGAAGGAATTGGTATTGAAAAAGATGAACAGGCAGTAAATATGGACATGCCTATATATATACCTGTCTTCCTCTTTACTAAATTAACTCCTAGAAGGTGCTAAAAGTTGGCCTTTGCGGGAAAAACTCGGCGCTTCGAAAATGAGTTCTTTCTCTACAACCACCCCACTTTTAATGACCATATAGCAGCCCGGGAGCTCAATTTAAGGGAGGCCGTATATTGGGTAGATTTTTGTGGCTATCCTTTAATTGCCAACGACCCAAATGAATTACTAATCTTGCAAAATCAGATGCAAGATGAGGTACGACAAAGTGAAGCCCGGCAGTTAATGACTTTACAAACCGGCATTGACCCTGGGTGTAACCGAAGACTTGTGGATAATAATGGTGTTTTTATATTACTTGTGAAAATTGAGTTGGATTAGTAAATGTATATAGATATTAATATTCTTTTTCTTTTAACATCTTAATGTTATATGACCTCCTGGACATTCATGTCTTCAAGGTCATATGACTTAAAAAAAAAAACATACTTAGAAGTTTTATTAGACCCTATAATTAGTATAGGTACTTTAGTAATATTGTTAAGATTTTATTTTTGTCAAATTCGAAAAACAGACCTAACACTAGTAAGGTTGGTTAGGATAGAGTAGGGCGAGTTGGGGCTCTATTAATTTGAGTGAAAATTGATAAGAATTTGACCATAAAGAATCAATTGCCAATTAGGGTAAGAGATTAGGAAAAGTTCACTAGGGACTAAGTTGGAAAAATCAAAGTAGATTGGTAAAAAAAAAAAAAAAAAAAGTATTGAAAGGAAGTAATGGGAATTGAAGTTTAGATTTTTGGTTATAGATGAATGCTAAGACATTTTTCTGCTATCAAAAATCTTCTGAGAAGATGCATAGTAAATGACTCTAAGAATTGGTCAAATGAAAATAATGCCGCCATCGGGGAAAATTAATTAATTATAAGAGTTAGGGACGGCAATAATCAAAGATACGTCTGCACTATTAGGTAATAGTGTCATAGTGTATTCAAATGGAATAAAGGCGTTAAAGAACCTGAACAAGTTAGACACCAAACAAACTATAGGAAGAATCCTCTTTGAAGAATTTTCTAACGCTAAAATCTGACAATAAGCAAAATCCAGTCCAGATAGTCGGTGTCCTGGTATAAGAAGTATTAAAATTGATCTGGTCAAATTCAATCAACTTAAGCATTATCTCCAAGACCAATATATCGATCCAAGATTGCCCAAGAAAGAAAAAAGGAGACTTATAAATAATGGGCGGATGCTCTTCTTGAAAGATGTGATTATTTTCTAAAACAATAGCAGAAACTCAAATAAGCTATTGAGGGTTATTCAAACCCAAGAAGTGGAACCAGTGTTATATCTGGTTCACGATCACTCACTAGGAGGTCATTTAGAGATCGAAACCATGTTCGAGAAAATAAGGCAACTCTATTAGTGGCCTCAATCATATGAATAAATACAGAAGTATGTAAAGTTCTGTGACTAATGTCAATGACGAGGTAAGCCTCAGTTGACTACTCCCTTACACATTATACCGGTCGTAGCTTCTTTTTATCAGGTTAGTATAGATATTGTAGGACCACTACCTATCATATCTAGAACAAGTATGTACATAGTGGTGGCAACACATTATATGACTAAATGGCCGGAAATAAAGCCATTAGTTCAGCAAATACTCAGAAAGTGGCCAATTTCCTGTACAATAAAATAATTTGCCATCACGGGTGCCCCGAGTGATCCTGTCAGACTGAGAAACTCATTTTCATAATAAGCTAGTTTGGAAATTACTAAAAAAGTTCCAAACTAAGCATGTCTTGTCGACACCATACCACCCCCAGACAAATGGGCTAGTAGAACGGTTTAACTGGACCCTGTGTGAGTCTATTGCTAAACTGTAAAAAATGTAGTAGACTGGGATCTAATTATCCCATCTATATTGTTTGCTTATTGAACTTCAAAGCATTCTACTACAAAGATAATGCCATTCTACCTAATATATGGTCGAGATGCAAGACAGCCCATTCAATTAAACGAAAGTGTTGGGAAACTATAGTCCAAAGAGTTCGAGGGCTGGTAGATATGTTACTGGTAATCCGCCAAGCTGCCATTTTTCAAGTACAAAAGGTGCAAAATAGGCAAAAGTAGCTTCATAATAGAAAAATTCAGAATATTACTGAATTTGGAATAGGGGAAAAAGTATTGGTGTACTGTGCATCCCGACAATATAATCATAGTGTAAAGCTTGAACCGAAATAGTCAGGCCTATACTACATTCATCAGGTTTTTGACTGGAATGTAGTCAAGTTGTGCACAATGGAAGGTCAAGTCATATCAACCCCAATTAGTACTAGTCTAATTAAAAAGTATAGAGATCGTCAAAGAGATATCGAAGGAGGAAGGATATTAAATTAAGGTGTATATTGTGTGATGGAAAGAAGTAAGGAACAAATGATGTTTTGATAATAAGAGTGTGATTATAAAAAAAAAAAAAAAAAAAAAGAAATACATATATTATAACTAGTAGATCGAAAGAGGGTTTCTTTTTTTTTGTATATATATAGCCAAGGTCAAAACTTTGATCCATTTTACTGTATCTTCACAACTTTTTAAAAAAAAAAAAAAAAAATGGACATCCACGCAATTATTAGAGATATAACCTCTCCTGTCCCTTCTGGTGTTCTTGTAACTCCACCTCCATTTGCGGAGACCCACGATCTTGTAGAAAGCATGGATGCGACTCGTACAGCCTTGCTGCAGGCTATTCGATTGAAAAATAGAATTGAAACGTTGGTATTGGCCTACTACCTTGGCATGTTATTTGTAACTGCCACTTCTACTCAGCAAGGAGCCATCTGAAGACAAGTAACTCGACATTATTACCTTGCGGCTAGGCATGTCTATGATATATTTGCTCCTCTTGGCGTTCAGCAAATTTATGGCACCACTATGGTTACTTTTAATACATTTAGGCTGCTATTGAATAAAGATCTCCAACAATTGATCCTCTAGTGTTCGTGGAACTCACATTTTAAGTTGGGGTATTGTAACCCGGGAAACTCGGATTTTCAGAAATTTCAATTTTAGGCCGATTAATTACGTATGTGCCGCAGAAGCCTATTTTTGGTTAGCAACGATTTTCAATTTATTTGGGTTAAAGACTTTTAGAAGCGATTTGTCTTAAAAGTCTTAAAGGTCTTAAAGGTGGGGGTATAATACTTTTAAGACTTAAAAGTCTTTTCTTTATTTTATGTATTTTAATAGTTTATATTATTATAAGACTTAAAAGTCTTAAACAAAACATAGTGTAAAAGAAAGTATATAAGCAGTACATTTCTGCTGTTTAATAAAGACATCATTTTCATACAATAAAACAAGCATCCTTTAGCTTGTCTTTGGCCCATTTAAATACATATTTTGCAAACACTACCTTTACCTCGATCCTTGCCAAAATAAATTGTTAAATTTTGAATAAACTATAACCGCTATGTTTACTCTTCTGAATTAGCCCAAATTTAGGTTAGATCACTCCAATTGTCTGCCCAATACAGACAACCCTTATTGTTATCTGAGTTTAGTGCTATTTCCAACCTTAGTTTAGGTTGATTGTACCAAGTATTATAACCTGAAAAGTATTATCGACGCCTGATTTCCTTGCGAGTTGGTTTCTGTGGTTTGAGTATTGATAAACCGGAGTTTGTCACGTGTTTGTTGTCTAAGGATTGCCGAAGCCTTAGAACCAGTCCACTTCGCCAAATCTAAACATCTCTTTCAATAAGGTGGTCCAGTGCCTTGTTAGATTAATTTTGCTGGTTGATTTAACTCCCGGCAAATCGATATTTTCCGTGTAACAGTAGTAATCCTTCTCTCAAGTCTCCTACGCAACAATGATTTCTTTATTTCCTCATCTTTCTTTTTACTATGTATTAATTCCCCATTTAGGTTTCATACTCAATAGTGATTTCATTATTATTATTATTTTTTTTTCTCTTATACTATTTGATAATAATTACTTTTCTGTAATCACGTTTTCTCTTATAACAATTTTTCTGTTATCACGTTTTCATACGCAACGGTGATTTCGCTATTACTTCATTTTCATTATTACTTTATTTTTTCTCTATAACATGTAACAATTCCTCATTTAAGTTTTATACGGAACGGTAATTTCACTATTATTTCATTTTTTTCTTTATACTATGTAATAATATATCGATAACTCTTCTGTTATCACGTTTCTATATGCAACGGCGATTTCACTATTACTTCATTTTTTCTTTATACTACGTAATAATATAATATCGATATCTCTTTTGTTATCATGTTTTATATGCAACGGCGATTTTCACTATTACTTCATTTTCTTTCTCAATAATAACCTTTCAGATATCACGTTTTTATTTTTAACCCAATCAAATCATGAATAAACAACCAATCACCGCTTAGTGTTTTGTTGATCGAAATGTGCGTTATTTTATCTAATCTACTACTACTACTACTACTATAAATAAATAACTATAATAATAATAATAACCAATAACTAATAATAATGATAATGATAATAATAATAATAATAATAATAATAATAATAATAATAATAATAATAATAATAATAATAATAATAATAATGTCAACGATTTTAAATTTTCATCCGAATGCTTGTCCAAAAATGCTTGGTGTGCTTTAGTTTGTACGAAAATTTATGGAAAAAAATTGTTCATGTCAACCAATAAACCTTAACAAGAAGGAATCGAATATAAATATTGCTCGAGCAGGTGCCGTTATTAAAAAGTTAAATATGGGGCAGCGTTAATCAAAACATAGCATATAGTGAGACTTTCCGAAAATTGTTACACAAAATGATAAAAAATTACGGCATGTCTAATCATAACATGTTGTTTATAATAAAAATATTAATAATGATTAAAAATATTCGTATTTTGATTGGTATCACACTATGTTACAATTAGACATGCCCTAATTTTTTATCATTTTGTGTAACAATTTTTGGAAAATAATCAATCTCACTATGATTGACGCTGCCCCATATAATCGACTGGTTTAAAAATGAATCTTGGGTTAGGATTCCAAGCGACCAAGATATTATTAATATTTGTCGAGAATGCATGAAGAAAACGAAATCAAAGTAAATAATTTTATATGTTTATATTTGTTTATAAGAAACAAAAAAGAATTAGAAATAAATAAATGCTTTCGGTTGAACGAAAATGTATCTTGCTAAAGAATAGGAATCGAAATTTAGTTTAATTTTTTAAACCCGAATTTTTCGTCTTCGACAAGAAATCAAGAATAATTAGAAATGAATAAAGGCTTCGTTTGAACGAAAATGGATCTTGCCAAAGAATAGGAATCGAAATTTAATTCAATTTTTTA